GGCTGATTGACACCTGGTCTCACATATTCAGGCTATGTTATCACAAGAGATCACTCCTTGGAAAAAAGACATCATGTTTGGAAAAGTGGAGGGTCAGTGAAAAGAGAGGAAGGCATTCAACAAGTTGCACTGCCAGTGATGGCAACAATGTAATGGACTTGGGCATGACATTGTGAGGATGGCATGGAATTGGGTGAGGTTTTGCTCTGTCTATACATTTGCTATGAGTTGTAGTCAACTCAGAAGGACCTAACAACAACAGAGGACACAGGTCTATAATCAAATGGACAGTCTAGCTAAAATGAAGGTGTTACTACGATGAGCAAGTCTTTGCAGTGACTGACAAATAGGCTGACTCTTCAGGCTATTTAAAAAAAAATAATTTCAATGAAAGTTTACAGACTTAGGGTTTCCAGTGATTCATTGTTGCATTTTTCTCCCTGTCCTCCCACCCCCATTCACTCTTTTTGAAAAAGAAAATATTTTTCATTGTTGTGCAATCCCTCCCCGCAAGGCCACTCCACTATGCAGCCTTCATTCTAGACTCCTGTCATGACAAGAATACCCATTCGTATATCCCTTTTAAACAGATCTCTCCCTCATCTGTTTCAATGCAGTATACATCATTCCTCTCCTTTTCTGTCTTCCCTCAACCCTGATGTCAGTCCTGTTTTACAACTGTGGCCCTATGCAATATATGTCCTTTTGGGACGAAGATATTTCTCCCTCATCTGTTTCAATGCAGTATACATCATTTCTCTCCTTTTCTGTCTTCCCTCAACCCTGATGTCAGTCCTGTTTTACAACTGTGGCCCTATGCAATATATGTCCTTTTGGGACTAAGATATTTCACTCAGCATAATGTCCTCCAAGGTCACCCATTTTGAATAATATTGCATGAGTTCCTTGTTTTCAATGCTGCAGAGTATTCCATTGGGTGACTATACCAGAGCTTCTCTATCCATTCTTTTGTTGATGGGCACTTGGGTTGCTTCCAGCTCTTTGCTATTGCGAACAAAACTGCAATAAACATGGGTGTGCAATCTTCAGGCTATTCTTAAGATGAGTTTTGAAGTTTTTAAGCAATGGAATATTGCTGTTAAGTACTGTTGAGTTAGAACCGACCCACAGCTGACCCTTCAGTCGGTTTTTAGAAACAGTAAATTGCATGAGAGGAAACCCATCTTTCTCCTACGGAGCACTGGGCAAATTTGAACCATGTGCCTTTGAGTTGATAGTGCAACTCCTTACCACTAAGCCACTAGTGTGGAACAGTGTGTGTGTGTGTGTGTGTGTGTGTGTGTGTGTGTGTGTGTATATTAAAGCTCAGAACTTATAGCTGACACTCCAGTGGGTTTTCCTGCTGTAAATAACAGGGAAGGAGACTCCCGTGTCGCTGCTAGTGAATATAGACAGCCAGAGAGGCATCACCTTTGGTTTGTCAGGGCAACTCTCAAGGACGAGGGCATCAGAGATCCCTAAAACTTTGCTGATTTTGTGACTTGGAAGGACAATATTAATCTTCAAGCAGAGTTCTTTACTCTTTTCAACTCATAAAGTAAAATCTGCTGCTAGGGACCTCTCTAGAGTGAAGAGCAAAGATCTCAGTCTAGAGACTAAGGTTCCAAGATCTTCACAGTTACTTGTTACGCATCAAAGACTTGGACAATGACTAAGGACCACAGAAGAATTGATGCCCTTGAATTGTGGTGCTAGAGAAGACTACTGAACATACCATGGACTGCCAAGAGAACAAGTCTGTCCTATAGTGTGTGAAACCAAGCTATTCCTTGGAGGCAAGGATTCCGAGACTCCATCTTACATGCTTTGATCATGTAGCAAGGAGGGACATGTCTCTGGAAAAGGACATAATTCTTGGAAGGGTTGAGGGACAGTGCAGGAGAGGAAGATTCCAGATGAGATGGATTGACAAAATAACTGTAGTAATGAGGGTAGGTGCGTGTGTCAGAGACAGTGAGATTGGCTCAGGATAGAGCATAGGGTCACTATGAGTCAAAGTCGCCATACAGCACAAAACAACAGCAACAACAATAAAGTGCAAATAAAACTGTAGCTACTTTATAGACTACAACTTAATTGGTCACTAAGATTAGCTAACCTTACATAAGCCACCTTTAATAATTTTTTAAAAGGTAATGGAAATCTGTCATTTTTAATTAAAGGTCCTTTAAATAAGAAAAGTATCATAACCAACTGATGTGAATCCAAACCTTTGATCTCAGTACTTAGATAGTACATACAAAGATTTCCCTCCTGATTTTCTAGAGAATGATACAAATTTATAAATCGTCTCAAGAAAATATCACAGAGAAATTTTATTGCCAAAGTAATTTCACACAAAGCCAGAAAAGACAGCCAACAACATCCTAGTAAAAACTTCTTTAAATGGCTGTTATGAGAAACCACAAATCTTTACTGATACAATGTAAACCCCATTCTGAATGCATTCACTCTTATTCATACAAGAGATGGAGGAGAGAAAAAAAAAAGAAAAATTACTATCTGCAACATTGGTTTATGTAATTCAGATAAACCTTTAATCTACACATTTAACAGTATTATACATTCAAAGTGCATTTGAGAATTAAGAAAATGACTAACTCTCCTCCGGGGGAATATAAAATTTATTCAATAGTTTTACAATATTCTATTACATATTCTAATTACGTATGGATGTTGGGAAATTAGTCAAAGACAACATCAAATGATGTTCTTAAAGTGGCAGTGCAGTAATAAAGGAGTAACTTAAATGACTATGGAAGAAAAAAAAATCACACAAAAGCACCTAGAAACATTTTCTTGAAGACACTTTCCTGCCCATTTACAATTTTAGTTTTAGTCCTATTTTCTATCACTTTTTGGTAGGTGCTGTGAACATCTGAGGTTAGAGTGATGGGCCTCTCAATGGCCATTTTCTTTGAATGTTTCATCTTTTCATATAGACATCCTTCAGCTGCATGATTTCCCCAGTAGGACTCAAATCTCAAGGAGTGTACTTTTGTCTAATAGAGATACTGTGCACACACTGGTGGTGTTGCTTCATAGCGCTGGCAGGTCCTTCAGCGTTCTGCTCTGTCTGCTGACGTGGAGGGTCACACACTCCTGTTCCTTCAGCTGTCATTATAGATGCGTTTGGCCAGGGCACCAATTTAGTACATTAGATGACCACTGTACAGTAAAAGCTGGAAATGAGAATGTAATATTCTTGTGTGCCCAAACTCTATACATACAACAAAGGCAAAAAAAATGTGCTTAAGAGAACATATTAAATAATCTTAAGAAATAATAAGATGAAGCCCCTTCCCTTTGTGAAAATAAATATAACATACTAATAACACTGGCTAGACAAGCACTTATGTAAGACTTCCATTGGACATGAGAAGTTGTTTAGGTCAAGCTGTGAGATTGATTCACCGTGTAAAGACAGCCCAGTTAAGTTCCGAAGAATTAACAAACTTTAGATTGACTAAAATACGCTTCCAGCTATACAAGGGCATTGATTCGGGTCCAGTAATAATTTCTGAACTTGTTGATAGGTTGGTAGGGGGTTGGCAAAAGCATAATTTGAGAACATCTGAATTTACTTTATGAGAAGACTTTTATCTGCCAGCCCAAGTTCTCACCATTTTTCTTGCTATATATCAAATGTATCAAAATACACACAGTACGCATGGCTTTGGCAATGTGGTTTTCACCCACTGACTGCATTCGAAGCCCAGGCTCCCATTTCATGAAGATCATCAGAACTCTTAATCAGTGAACTTCAGGTCTGGTTGGGTGACATGCTCTTCACGGCTCCAGCTTCTTTGTGAACCCAAAGACTGACCAACAGTGAACTATGATAAATTCTGAAGTCTAATAATGACTAAAGAAAAATGTAGAAAGGCCTAACAAGAGGTACCAAACCACATTGCAAATAGAAAATATAGGAATATTTTTAATAAATTTATATACAAAGATATGACCTAGAAACTATTTTACATTGCTGGCTAAAACTGCAAAGAGTTAAGTCAGTAGGTATGTCAATATCCCAGCTTCAAATTAAGGTGTAGAAGTAGCTTCAATTAAATTTCAATAAATAGACCCGGAGGGCATTAAATATAACTGGAAAGCAATAGTTTCAATCTTCAGCTTTTTATCAACAAAGCCTTTTACCGGTTCAGGATCAAATGATTAAATCAAAGAGGAGCCCTGAAGAGATTGTAGATTTCCCTCACTGGAGCCAAGTAATTGCTACAGAGCATCAACTCTCAGGTCTTCTCCTTTCGCATTCACTTCAGTTCCACTTTTATTATAAAATGAACCCTTTTTACATGAGACAAAGAAACAAAACTGTTGACTTGTTCAGATGGAACTTTCGTGTCTTAATTCAATCTTAATTTGGTGCCTTACTACAAAATTAAGGGCTTTAGCTCTTCCGTAGGCTTCTGAACACACACGCAAACGGCACTCACAGAGATGAATCATTTTTTCTATTTCTGTGAATATCCAAGGGCATGGAAATTCAACCACCTTGCAAAAACGCAAGGCACTGACTCATCAGCATCAAGGAGAAACAGTCTCCACAAGGCGGCGCTCTCGTAAGCTCTACTTCCCTCCTCGGAGAAAAACCTACTGCCTGGAGTTAAAACTGTAGGCTACAGAAAGCAAAAAACCCCTCACTAAATGAGTCATTTGCACATTTTGATTTACACACATTGGGAGGAGAAAAAGATTTCCAAGTCTTGGCACATCTTAACAGATTTTTCGGAGTGGGTCTGGTTTCACGGTAGACTGTCTTCTTTCCCTACTCCATTATTTGTCAAAACAAAGTATCAAATTAAACTGTCAATTCTTCAGCTTCCATTCCAAAAGGTGTGCTCAGTCACAATGCAACAGGGAACATTTAAATAAAGACGCTAGAGGTCATTTAAACGGCTCCTTGTTTAGTTTTTCTTGCCTGACAGGTCTGACCAAACGGCTGGTGTCTGGAAATGAAATCACATACAGTCAACCACATTACTGGAGCCGTGACCTACATCACGGATCTGACTTGTCAGACAGGCGCACACGGTCACACCTGCACCCGCTCTGCAGTGGGACACAGATCCAACCAGCTCCCACCTGGAAAAGACACAAGAAAAAGGGTACTTTAAAACACAAAGATGACTTACGCAACTCAAAATAACAAAGATGATAAAGGAATAAATCCCATTGGTGACTGTTTACAAAAGACAGCAAGCTTTCTAAAAGACAGTCTTTGGTTTAACACTAGGGAGTCAATCTTAAGTTACTAGAAGGTTCCATCAGAGCAAAGCAAAACCATGGAAATCACCTGTTCATCACTGGATCAAACGCTTCCACTGTATTGAGGTACGCATTGCCGTTATGACCACCAACTGCAAAGATTTTCCCCATCACCGTTGCGATGCCCACTCCACCCCTGGGGGTGGTAAGTGCTGCCACATAATCCCACTTGTTGCTTCGAGGGTCATACCGCTCAACGGAACTCAGAGGAGAATTATCATCAAAACCACCTACAGGGTGAAATATTTTAATTAAGTAAAAAGTAATAATTTTTTTGTGTGTATATGTGGTTATTAATGGGTCTTCATTAATCAATCTTATATAATCAATGCAATGAGTTGCATTGATTTCAGCTCTGTGGAAGAAAGCTGAGCAATCTCCTCTTTTTAAAAAATTTTATTAATTTTAATGAAAGTTTACAGACTTAGGGTTTCCAGTCATTCATTGTTGCACTTTTCTCCCTGCCCCCTCCCAATTCACTCTTCTTCTTCAAAAGAAAAAGAAAAACCCTTTCATTGTTATGTAATACCCCTCTGCGCCCCCAAGTCAACTCCACTGTGCAGCTTTTTAAAGTAGCATGCTAGTTCATGGACGTTAACCACTACATTTCAACTCAATAGCTTCTTGTTGTTATGTGCCATCGAGTCAGAATCCCTTAGCTGCCCCTCCAAATGGTTTTCAGAGTCAATTAATCGCACGGAAGGAGACTGCTCATCTTTCTCCTGTGGAGCAGCTGGTGGATTCAAACCCAGTGCCTTTGGGTTGGCAGCACAACTCATCCCACTAAGCCACCAAAACCCCCTAAAAATATTTTAAGAAAGAAAAAATTTGGTGGGGTGGGTAGGGAGAAAAGTGCAACAATGAATGAATGGAATTTCAAAATCTCTGTAGATGTTCATTAAAATTAATAAAAAGAAATTGCCTTTAAAATACTGTGTAAAACCACTGTTATAAACGGCTACAGAAAGGTT